AAACTTCGTGTTGAAAAAGTGCAAAACATGTCGCGAATGGTGTTACGCTAACTTGCATAATTTTTGCATAATTTAGCTTTTTTTGGAATAATTTGGCCTTCTATATTTGCATAATTCTACGGGGACAGCTTAGTACAAAGTGTCGCATTACCTCTCCCGAAAGCATATGTGATACAGTCTTGTCAGATTGTTTCATTTCTTACGTGAAAGTTTGTTCGACTTTGTAATGATCTGATCGTATTATTGACATTGTAACATTGTTGATCCTTTTGGTCGTGCAGGGATAATTTTGCAATTAGCGAAAATAAAAGTAAAACTCGCTTCTGAATAGAATACGTGTGTACACTAAAGAGATATCGTGGATAAAACTTTGGTTCCGAATGAGACAGTTTTAATTAAACCAAGCAGTTGAAAATGTGTGCACATCTGATTTGTACACTGGCTGTGTAGTATTTAACCAAGCGAGGAAGGAAAACGAAGGATATTTACCGAGTTACAGTTGGGATATAACAAACACCTAACTTTATACGTATAATGTATAGCAAGTTTGTATACGTCTTATTTTTATTTGTAGTAACCAGTACAGTCATTACTGTCAATAATGCGCCACAACTGACCATCGCCTACGCCCATAAACGTTCACGAGTGTAAAGGAGGATGATGAACCGTACCATTCGTCGTTTTCGCTTACATCGCAAGGCTCACCTGCGGGTGTGCGGTGTAAGGCGGAGAACGACGAATGTCGAATAACTTTGCTACTTTTTAACCTAAACCATTCAAACTTTAGAAACTGCTTTTGAACACATCAATCAGATATCTGGCGAATTACAGCTTAAAAGAGTGAAACATAGAATAGTTATAAAGTGAAAACAGTTTTTGCCCTTCCTGAAAAATTTGCCCCGCTCGTTGTTTTCCCTTACGACGGCAGCACTGTAGTGGAGTCTACGGTAACTCAATGAAGAATGGGAATCGAAAATGTTGTCTCCCTCTATTGTGTTGCAAGACCTGGGGCTGCACGAAGCAATTAGACATTTTTAAATCCTCTTAGATTGTGAACATAGTGAGTTGTTAGTATTGTTTCACTTTATGGTAGCTTTTATGCGATTTCATCTAGAAACAGTTGTAAACATCCATAGATGTAGATTACTAAGATTACGGGGTATCCTGCAGATTCTAAATGACTTTTTCTAGAAATCTTAATAGAAGCTGCGAAGCCTATTGCCCATTTGCTCACTTTCCAATTATGCACCACATTGTCTGCAACCCACGCAGCGCCACTGCCTACGGGTAGTTTTACCCACCTCATAAAAAGAACATAATACCGCTAGTGTTGATTGGGGCATTAGGTTACCATTTCACCATTTCACAAGGCCGTGGCAACTTTGGCTTGAAAAACACCCAGTTAGACGTGCTCGGCTTGGCATGTAGTGGTTGACAATGTCTCCTGTACCACAACCAACTGGTGACCAGAGCTATTGTAGCCGAGAATAACTGTATGGTAAAACGCCTTGATATATAATAGGCCTACCAGCAGTTGTGGATCCTAGCATAATACTCACACTCATAAAGTGCTGTGATGACGTCCAGGGAGGCCAAAGCCTCTCACGAACGAGTTCTATTTCTCAACACCACCTGGGCAAGGCACTTCGATGTTGTCGTCGTTGTTGTTGTTGTTGTTGATGTTGTTGTTGTTGTTGTTATTGTTGTTGTTGTTGTGGTTGTTGTTGTTTTATTTTTAAAGTCAATTTAACCTACTTGTGAAATCTCCTGACCTTTTTGAAGGGTTTGTTACTCTTGTGAAAGATAAAGCGTAAGGACTCAAAAGTCTAAATTTTATACACTATCAAAAGTGATTCTGTTATAAAATCTAAATTTTTGAGTCTTTCTGCTTTATATTTCACGTGGGTAGTACTATCCTGAACAGCAGGTATGTTAGAAAAATAACACTTTTGTTGCTTCAATTAGTGTGTACACAGCCCCAGTGGAATAAAACAGAAAATTTGGATTTTTTCCCCCCGACCTCGAGGCGCATCTTTTTTATTCTTTGATTTTTATGAAATTTAGGTCTGTCGTTACTTAAAACGCATCAATATTTGACCAATGTCATCCAAAAGAAACAGTACCGTTAACTCAAAATCAGGAACATCAAACCATCGGCATGCTCGGCGCACTGCTTTTGCGAGGACATTCAACGTCAGCAGAAGGAGTATCAGCCAACTGAGAAGACGATACATGTACGTTGAGACCTGGCGTATTCCAAACCGATAAAGAACTGGACGTCATACTTTATCGGGACAGTGACAAGTGACAGTACACCTGAGATATCGTTTCAGGACAACGCTGAAACAGCAAGAGAATTTCCTGGACTTTTACTCGTCAGCCGTCATGCTGTTCGTCGCAGACTGTGAGAATTCAAGATTGAAGCTAGGATGCTCACATACAGACGCGTTTACAGCCAAAATAGCGTCAAGCTAGGATGAACTGGTCACAGCTACACCACCGATGGACTTGAAGCACTGGGGCACCGCCACCTTCTCGGACGAGTTTCAGTTCCAAGTTGATCGCCACGATGGGAGTGGAAAAGTGTTCAGGAGACCACATGAGCCCCATCTGTCATTTTTTCAACACACATTCAGCCCATAACATTATAACAAATTTGACTGCGTCTGCAGACGCAGCATCATTGTCCACAGAATGTAAAATAATAAAGTAGCCTACTTATAATTTCAAATTTGTGCTCTTTTGAAAAGTAGCCTATAGTCTAGCCTATAGGGGCAATAGATATTCATTTAACATGCAGAAATTTAAATACCTTTTACATGGTTCTGTGATCGACCATGCCTGAAATGCCGACAGTAGCAAATTTGATTCAAATACATAAATATAACCTCCTTAAATTAGGCTAGTAGGCCTATGGTGTAGCAATAGCGCACGGTAACATCTACTCAGGCGCGGTTCGTCCATAGAACACGGTCGTGCAGTGCCGCCCAAAATGTTTTAATGTTCTATGACGAAAAGCACCCACAATAATAAAATAAAAGACGCCAGAAACAAACACTAGCCAATATTATATCAAAGCAAGGCCATCGCTGGCGCCGTACCTGTCATTTCTATTCTATAGCGCCGTAAAACATCTACTATGCCATGCCAAAGTTCATGCGCTGTATCTAAACATAACAGGATAGTCAACAGTGGAAACCTGACCTATAAATCGCTCTTTGGGATAACCCAAGCGATGATGAGACTTGTAGAGAGTTTGACGGTACATTAATATTAATAAGACGGCACATCTCAAATGTGCTCCTGCCGAATAGCGCCGAAACATGGCCCACAGTAGGCAATCTAAAAATAAACGCAATAGATTGTGCACTATTCCATGCCAAAATTATGTGGGCCCCGGAGCAATCCAGCGGAATGCTCAAGTGAATTGTGATTGGTTCATTGTCTTGTCGCTATTTTAAGTGACTCTGCGACCGTGAACCTGAGGGAGGTGAACGTGACATACTTAGGTCGCCGTCCTATGAGTTGTGCTTTTGAACGGTTTTGTTGTGGAGTGATGAAAGGTTTTACTTGAGTGTTGAGTTTTGATGCAGGATGAATGAAATTAACATTTAGCTAACAAACTGATTTAGTTCTAGAAGTCCACAAGTAAAAAGAATGAAAATAAAAGCACAAGGTCTTCCTTCACCAACCCAAAGATCCTAAAATTATACTCAGTCCCATTTACTCTGCCCTTGATTATCTTCAGCCTAAGATAGCTTAATTGTGCACGCCCACTTTTTAGACCCACGAGCCGCCCCTGCTTCTACTATATCAATAATATAGAAAGGCCCTTATGGCCTGGACTACAAATATTTTTTTAAAAATTAAAAAAATTTCTACACAGCTGAACAATTATAATACCTCGATACCTAATGCTATTAGTAACATACGCCGGGGTAATAAGTAAAGACAAAAATACAACTATACTTTTCCAAGTATTTAGGTAATCGTGTCTAGACAAGTTGTGACTATTTAGCTGAGACTCAAACAAAAATTATTTGTATAAGAGAGAGAGAGAGAGAGAGAGAGAGAGAGAGAGAGAGAGAGAGAGAGAGAAATAAATACCCAAATATGAGAATAAAAACAAAAACTAAGTGAAGTATGGGAGGAAAGTTAACTTTGCAGAAAATGTTAGTATTGGAAAATAAAAACACAAGAATTCTAAAAATTTACAAGATTTTTAGCAACTTTAAATTAAACCAATGCGGATAAATCAGGGTTGTCAGTGAGGATTTTGCAAAATCACTATATAGATTTCATGAAAAACTTCCCTCTTTTTGTTAAAAAATCACTAGATTCATTTAAAACGCTTGCATCCCCCCCCCCCCCCATACGAAAACTTATCAGTTTTGATAAACAAAAAATTCTCAAGGCCAAGTCACTTGCTTTGGCAGCCCTGGGATAAATAACACCAAAGATAGTAAATAACAAGATGGGCCACAGGAAGTGTCCGCAGGAAGTATGCTCTTTGCTTCAGATGGCGCTGCAGTCTATTTTGAAGCTCTCTTTCGTTTTTCCAGAAGAAGAATAGGAATAGCACCTCCTTGCGTGCGCAGATCGACTGCTGTTCATCAGCAGTTCGGGTACGTTCAGTGCGGAGTTTTAGGTTTTAAAAAATTTTTAATGACCTCTCGCCTTTCATTCTAAAGTAAAATTAAACGAAGAAAACCATCACCCTTTCCTCCGGAAGAGGTTTTTTGTCAGCGTAACCATTTTAAAAAGGCGTTCTTCTTAAATTTATCCCAAAACTTGCTAGTTTCACTTTGATTTTTTAAAACTCAAGTAGGGCAACTCTGTTCGCAAAGAGTGCGCTTTTGTGAAGAGGGCGCCACCAAATTTTGAGGACACTTTTTTAATTGGCTCAAAGAGAGAAGTGGCCCATCTTGTTATGTACTGTCATTGAGGTATCTAAGTATCGAGTATCTAGTATCGATACCTGCCCATCACTACTGACTGAATAGGCCTACTGAATGGAAGGAAGGAAGGAAGGAAGGAAGGGGGGCTACTCTTCAGTCTTCACTTCAGTGAAACTCCACAGTCCACAGACAGTTCAGACAACAATGTCTAATGTCTGCCGCTGCCCAAGAGTGCCAAGACAAGTCAGTCTTTGCAATTTCTGTCTCCAATTACAAACTTCAGTCTGTTACAAAATCAAGCAGTGAGACTTTGTAGTTGTACAAAAAGGGAAGTCTTTCGGAAGACAACACAGTCGCATTAATTAGTCAAGAATCTCTCTTGATTGTGCTTTGTTTGGAACTGAACGGAACTGGAAGGCGTAGATCTAGATCTAGTCCCGCATCCTTGTTGCTCACCCCAGCCCCAAGGCCAAGGCGGTCCAGGTCCAGAAAGCTGCCACCAGGTAAGACAGGCCACACAAAAGTCAGTCCACAATCGCAACCCACACACACACACTCACACTGTGACACATTCGCACACACAAACTACACACACACACAAAGTTAGTTGTACTTGTACACACACACTGTTGTTGTTACTAAGTATTACACACACACTACACACACAGTCACATGCACACACACACACACACTTGACACACACTCTACACAGAGAGAGAGAGTTGTACACACACACTGACACACACACACACACACATTGTCACATACACACACACAACAGTTGTACGCAAACTCACTACACACACTCCTGTTGTACAACATGCGATAACATAGAAAGACGCAAACTATTTTTAGGTACGGCGCCCATGTTGTTTGATGTCAGAACAGGATACCCCTCCGATCACGTGACTATACAAGTATAGCCAATCGTATGGCACCAAAGATGGAAGTGTACGAAAATTGTTGTAAAGACGCTGGTGGATTAGCTAGAATCTAGATCTAGAATCTAGATCTACCCCCCACCTCTCCTGCATTCTTCATCACTAATATACATTAAAAAACAAACAAACTTCAAAGTAGCTCTACAAATTTTAATTTATGGGACTGTTGGTCAGTCAGGAGGAGGAAGAGAAAAAAAAAAAGTCCGGGACCGGAATCGATCCGCTCCTAAAATTATTGCATGACTTCAAACGCAGACGCGCTGTCTATTCGGCCATCAGAACTTCCGAAAGCGTGGTGTAGATTAAGCGTTATTTACATAGACACTTCCATCTTTGATGCCATGCGGTTGGCTATACTTACATATTAGTCACGTAATTGGAGGGGTATTCTGTTCTGATGTCAAACAAGATGGGCGCAGTTCCTAAAAATAGTTTGCGTCTTTCTACGTTTAATCACATGTCCTGTTGTACACACACACGCACACTCTACACAGAGAGAGAGTTGTACGCACACACTGTGACACACTCACACACACAGAAACTCAAACACACACAGAGGGTTGTACGCACACCCTGCAACACACACACCTGTGCACACCCACACACCCCATGATGTAAATAGCTGTCATTATTCTCACCCGGGGTGAAAATAAAAATACGAAGTGACTATTTCTCAGAACGTTCAGGAAAATAAAGTTGAATTCTATTTCTCCTAACGGTTCCAGATCTCGAGATTTTTTTTGTTATTTTCGAGATTTAGGCGTCATCCTTTCATTTTGCCATTCTGCGAGGACAGGGAAGAAGCGTTTTTTGCATCAAATTCAATTTCTAGAGCTAGAGAATTTTAAATGTCTGCATGAATATTCAGGTACTTCAGTTGTGGTTGGGGCAACGTTCCCGGACTATACTTTATTTGAAAATACCTTCTAAAGGTACTGCGAGAAAACACGACTGCTCGACCTTTGCAGTTTACAACCTATTTTGCTTTTAGTCACCCCAGCAAAAACTAAAATCCTTCTTGTAAAAAAAAAAAATCCCTCCACGCCCCCCCCCCACCCACCAATTCACACACACACACACACACACACACACACAAACACACACACACACACACACACACGCACACGCACACACACACCATTCGCTTAACAAATCTTGAGAATGGAAACCGTTCTGAGAAATAAAGTTCAAGTTAATTTTTCCCGAACGTTCGGAGAAATAGAGCCGCCCATAAAAGTATTTATATTCTCACCCAGGGTGAGAATAATATCCATTGGTTATGAGGGATCACACGCTTACCTCACCAGCAGCTGAAAATTGGTAGCTTTTGGTCAACAGTGGGAAGGGCCAACGCAACATGATCGGTTGGAGGGACTACCTAACAACAACGATAGGTGATTGAATTCTGACGGCTCGCCCACAACGCCAGGGGCCAATGCACAATTTATGACAAAACGTAATGGAGTCACTGAGGTGGCCGTCTAAGACAGGTGTTATTGCTTAGTGTGATAGGGGTTGTTTGTTAAAATATAGTCTGATAATGGCCGCGGCCGCGTTGGACAGGTCCCCGTTTTACACTGTTAAATTAAATATATAAAAAACGCAAGGGGGGAAATGGAAAGTGGCCATTTGTACAGGTGGCCGTCCTATAGAGGTAGCCGTCAGGGCAGGTTTGACTGTATATTCTGAATTCGGAAAGGAATTCACTTACTAGAGTAGTATGTTTTACCAAATTTAATAGCCTTAACTGAAAGCTGTTAAATGAAATAATGTTAGTATTACTAGTAATAGATTGTCACTGTAATGTTATTTTAGAATTGGCATTTGTTTACACATGAACAGCCCAAAAAACTTGTTATAATAATAATAATAATAGATAGCATTTGTATAGCGCATATCCCCGCTCAGCAGCAGGCTCTATGCGCTTTACACTATATTATTACCCCAGCAGACCATAGAACACTCCGAAACATTCTCAGCTTCCCGGGAAGCATACAGTGCAAGCAGCCGATTAAGTGCTCAAACACTAACAAACTGACAAGATCTTTCGCTGTCTATAGCCGGGTACCCATTCCTACCTGGGTGAAGTGAGGAAAATTCGTGTAAAGTGCCTTTCCCAAGGACACAACGTCGGGCCCCTGACGGGATTCGAACTCACGACCTTACGGTTGCGAGTCCGAGAGCCTAACCACTAGGCCATCGACGCCACAATCCCTAACAGAACCCACGATTATTTTTAAGGCACCTCGTGCCCTCAGTGAAGTGAGAGAGGGAGGCGAGTGAGTTTTGTTGCTTGGAGCGCTCAGTGACAGCACGGGTCCTGTGATGCCCGAAATGAAATAAAAAGGGCGGAACCGAAAAAAACGGGTGAGAATAGTAGGCTGTTGTTATTCTCACCCAGTGTGAGAATAATATCCAGTTTATCTTCACCCCGGGTGAGTATCCTCACCCCGGGTGAGAATAATCACTCTGTTTACCCACATGTAAAAACTCTCTCTCTCTCACACACACACACGCGCACACACACACACACACACACACACACACACACACACACACACACACACACGTGACTACAGCACTATCGAAACCAATGAAGTGACAGAGTAAAAGGTAATTTTTGATATGGAGAGATGGCCTATCAAACCTAATCACAAAACATCGAATTATTGTCAAATTCTTATTCAGGGGGGCATGCACCTCTGAACCCCCCCCCCCCCCCCCCATGTTTTTGTTAGGTCCCCCCTCCTAAAACCTCCCTGTTGCCTTGTTAAAAAACAAGTGAAATTTTACTGCTCATTTTGTAGACTACTGATAAAACATCGATACCAAATATTTAAATCAGTGTATCGATATCCAGTACTCCTGTGCTAAACAGACGGGTCCCACATTTTATGATTCTTAAGTAGTAACGGCAAATGCATGCTTTTTAAAGACCACACCACAGTATTATTATTATTATTATTATTAATACTTTTTGATGTAGTCCATCACTAGATCTATACTGCGTTGCAAATGATGGCAAAAGTCAGTATTTGTTTTAAAAATTTTTATTGTAAATTACCCCACTTTGCCACTTGTCCGATGGCGATATAAGACGAAAATCTAGATCTATATGTAGGACTCGTAGACTGATACGGCAATGGGGTCACGAAGTGCGAAGTCGGGAATCTTAAACAAAATTCTTGAAGTCAGATTTCTAGTGAAAAGGAAACCGTTTTCAAACGAAAGAAATAAAACCTGGCTTGAAAACTGATGATTGATTTGAACAAACTGATATGATGCAGACGGAGAACAGCTCACTCGGCTTGTACTCTCAATCGTAATCTGACAAGTGGCAAAGTGGGGTAATTTACAATAAAAGTTAGAAACGGAGGGAGGAATTCGGTTGAGGACGGGCACTCACGGTGACAAGTTCGACTGAGCAAACTATACAAGTGTTAGGGTTAAGGTTTGGGTACAAGTGTTAGGGTTAAGGTTTGGGTTAGGGTGTGTTGTTGGTTAACTGCCCTCTGCGGAACTCCTTCCGAAACGGATGATAGTGTTAGCGCTGAAAAGGGAAAACAACAATTCACAGTAAATTGACTGCAGTGCAGCCCCACAGAAAAGCTTATAAAACAAACTTAAGTTTCGTTCAGGGTGCCGTGAACACCTAGTCACTGCGTTATTGTTTTCAAGAAAATGTCCTCCTAAACTAAACATGAACGTCAAAGGAGTAGTTGTATGGTGAAATGGTGGTGTATATGCCCACTGGGACCCCCCTCCGATTTTTTAAAACTCATGGAACATGTACACTTTACTCTCTATACAAATTAGGCCTCTCTATTGTAATCTGTCCTTGTGTTCTTAGACTTCTCTCTGTCTGGATTGTGATCTGTATGATTGTTTGTATTTTTATGTTTTTAGTTTACAAGCTCTCTAAACTTTCTGTTGTTTTTTAAATCTCTCTTTTTTTTTTCACATTATATGAGAAAGGTCAATCGCTCTGATGAACTACAGTGGACAGACCAATACACTCATGATTATACAGATTACAGATTACATTGGTCCTGCTCGTTTTAACCTTCCCCAACATTGTTTGATTGTAATCTCACATTTGTTTTTATTGCATCTTGTGTGACTGACTGAAAATTCTTGCACAGTTATTTCCCTTGGCATGGCTGCATCGTATCTTTGTCTTTCCGACACTTGATGCTCTGTCATGTTAACGTAACGAAAAATACTTCTACTTCTTAGATTATAATTATTTTCTTTTTTGCTTTGTTTTGACTTCCTCTATCAATTGCTGTTAGGTTTCAAATGAGAAGCATTTTCTTTACTTTGATGACATTTGGGTGGTGTGCTAGAGCAATGCTAACGTTTAAAATTGAAGTAGCCCTGATATGATTATGCTTATAAATATTTTGATGGGTGGGGCTAAGGGTGGAAACAAAGGAGAGGTGTTAACCCTTCCAGCCCCAGCCATTTTTGTGCTCTCCCTAACCCCAGTCCCAGCCGATACAGCAGTACCGGTGTTTTAGAAAATCAAAATGAGGCATGCATTCTAAAAAGTGATGTAGTATCTTTGTAATGAGGAATCGATAATAACATAACATTGTTTAAAGGTAATGAACAAATATTCTGAAAATTAAAGTTTGATTAGGTTAGCTAATTTTTTGAACTTCTCAAATTTGGTACCCCCGGAAACTGACGCTCTTGGGACAGTGGGAGGTACAAGCGCTGCTGAAAATATACATGCACGGGGCTGGAAGGGTGAAATCGTTTCTGTATTTAATAGGTCAAATAGTGGTCCTATGAGATGCAAGCACTGGTGGCTATGGATAAAAGATGAGTGCATGCCATTATCATAAAAAAGGCAAGAATAGCACTAAAACTTTGGGCTAGAGGTTAAGGTGTCTGCCTCTCATTCTCCAGGTCCTGGGTTCAAATCCGGATAGGGACGGAAAATTTTGTTCTGTAACGTTTTCTCCCTTCACGTCCTTTCCTGCTCTGTAACAATGTTCTGTTGTCTGCTTTCGTCTCCACTTTCTGCCCCCGTCCTTTCACCTCCTTTGCCCCCTCCTGTGGGCTCCTGACTCCTTCTGTAGCCTTTCTACTGCTACTCGTAACTCCTTGGCTCCCTCATACTGCTGTCTTTCAGCCTCACCCCTGATCTTAAGGTCCGTAAAATCTAACACCTAGCCTTCTCGGATAAAGATAAAGGCGAAAAATTCTTGAAGGTCCCATGTGCAAGTTGCACAAGTTAAAGATCCCTGTGTGATCCAAAATCGATAACAGTAGGCTTTGGCTGCCACCCGGCCAAAACTAAAAATTTCCTACCTTCTGAAAATGTTAATGTGTTCTGCGCGCTCATATGACCTTATGCAGTTGCCAAAAAAATAAGTTAAAAATCTGGGTTTTTTTCTTATTTTGAGCAACCTCTCTAAACCGAAACCCCTGCTAAACTGAAGAAAATCTGGCGGTCCTGTGGATTTTGGTTTAACAGACTCCACTGTTAATTCAATACAAAGTCAAGGATTGGGGGAAAATACACACAAAATGTGGGGTCCTCTTCTTTCTGAAGGGTTTTTACACCCAAAGAGAATTGAAACTTGTAAAACGTGTATGAAGTGTATTGTATCCATGGAGATGTTTTGATGGGATAGGAGGGGTGCGAGCTGGTAGGTATGAAGTGTATAAGTTAAGATATAATTTGTTTTTAATGAATTTGTGAAGGTGGGTCTCCGACTCACATATTCATAAACCTTTATTTCATTTATGATTTCTGAAAAATATAATATTTTCTCTCCAGAATTGCAAGATGGACCTGGTGATGGAAGTAACGGATGAGGAGAATATGCTGCAGGAGCCAGTTGTTGTTGACGAGGAGGAGGCGGCAGAAGAGGTTTATGATGATAGCGACGGGGCAAGAGAAGACCTTGAACCCTGCGTGTTGACCTTCTTCCCTGGGCGCCGGAAGGCGGTAAGGGGTGGTCAGGGAGGCATCATGGTCCTCAACATTGACCCAGAGTGTGACTTGGATGAGGAACCGACGGGCCAATGTACAGAGCAACGGCCTGGAAGATCAGCTGCTCTGGTTCATCATCCTGCGAGCAATCAAGGGCTGGCAAAATCTGGAGCAAGGCGTGTCAGCAATGTGAATGTTCGTAGAGAACGGTCTTCCAGTAAACATTCTTCTTCCTCTATTACTCCTTCTAAAGGTAGCAGTGTAGCGCGTATGTCCCACAAGAAGTCTGCGTATAAGCATGCTCAACCGAGCGGAAGCGACAATATCTCGACTCTGAGGATGGCGACAGAGTCGGAGAAAAGTATCGGAGGGAGGAAAGCAGGTCAGAGTATTGTGTTGAATTCTGAAATAAGCTCACGGTTAAATGTAAAAGCAGACCCTCAAATAGAAAAAACAAGCAATAGTGGACATAAATCTGCAAGGAAATGTGTGACTTTGAAACATGTGTCCAGTGCTGTGCAAGATTTGTCATTTGGGCCGTTGCCAGGTATCTGTTCCTTTCTGCCAGGTCCTGTCAGCTTTCCGATTGCTGACTCTCCTTCTGAAAAACGTCATCCTGTGAATGAGAAAGAGGATTGTAAGAAGGAAGTGACAGGGATTCTGAGCAATCGCGGTGAAAGGGTTGAGAAATCTAACAGGGCCAGTGGTGTTAAGCGTGTGGGTAGAACTTTAGCTGCACGCAATCGTATTAATAGTTCATACAGTATTGAGCAGTCTTCCCCAGTGGCTTCTGGTTCCGAAGACGTACAGATTATAAATGCTCAGGATCTGTCTTTCCAGCATAAACAAAGACGAGGCAAGAGTAAGCAAGGAAAAAGAACAAACAATAGAAGTTTGAAAACTGGGACTGGTGTTGAACGGGCTGTAGACTGTGGCAGTGTCACGCTGCCCCAGAAGCTGGAAGGAAGTAGTGATTGTTTTTTGCTGATACGAGATTCAGGTGGAAAAGAATTGTTTGATTCAAGAGACTACAAGGAACCTTTGTTTCTTCAAGTCTTCAAGCGTGGTACTAAGCTGTTGGTGAATGGCGGGTCTCGTGGAGAATCGACTAAAGACTCCGCTCATCCAGATGAGGGCTCAGGGTCGGAGGTTTCTAATTGTGAAAATGTAGAACCGATTTCTTCTGCTGCTGATACAGTTTTTAAAAGAGAATTGAAACTTGTGCTAGAAGATGTTATGAAGAATAAATCGCTTTGCCCAAGATCTAGGAAAAGTGATCGGAATGTCATTGACTTTTCAGTGTGTAATGAATTATTAGCGCAGAGAAGTACAAGGTCAGATTTGTCAGATGTGTCTGAGTCGGATGTGTCTGAGTTTAACGTGTCTGTGGCTGGTAAACGTAGACGGGACAGCCCTGGTATGGGCAGGGAAAGAGACAATTGTGTCAAAAGACAAAGAAGAAGTGGTGGGGCAGTTCATCCTCCAGGCCATCATTCAGTAGTCAATGGGGGAAGATCAAACAGTGTGAAGGGAAACAAGACAGAAAGGAGGTCTGGAAGGTGCCCCACTGACAGCAGCACCTCCATACTCTCCAGTGGTGACGAGGATGTTGATGGGGCTATGGAAGTATGTTTTCAGACTCCTGAAAAGTTGCAAGTAAACAGAAAACTAGAGTATGATGCCAAAATTTCAAAAGCAAAAATCAGAAACGGCAAATTAGATGAGGATGATTTGCCAAAAATAAATTATTTCCCCAAGCAAAAAAAGAGTTTTGAAATATCGCCTTCCGACGCAAGCCTCTTAGAGGGTAAGACAGCTCACGTTCTTCTGGAGAGACTGGATGTCAGTTCTCTGGGGGTGAATGTCGCGACAATCTCTGTCTGTGGCTCGACTTCATCAACTTCCTCTGCCAGTGGAGAGAAAGACTTGTACAAGGTTGACAGATCAAAAAACACGTCCCCAGAAAGAATTCCTATGAAGCCAGAGAAAGTCGATGCTCAAAAGAGATTGTCACATTCAAGTCTGTGTTCCAGTTCCAGTGTTCCGTGTGATGTTCCGAGTAAGCAAGCCTGCGTTCTTCTTGAAAGAGCCAGCGTGGATGTTTGGGAGAAGAAAACGACTGGAAAAGAGGTGTTAGAGTGGGATGATTGTTCCAAGGTGATTTGTGGTCAAGACATTGACCCTTCTTCTAATGTCACTGCAGATGAAGATGTTGACTCCTCTTTGTATGTCAATACAGACAATGACATCGACGCATCATCAAATGTCAATACAGAAAGTGATAATGACATCAACCCATCATCTAATGTCAAAATAGATAACTGCATTGACGCTTCATCAAATGCCACTGTAGACAATGACATTGACGCTTCATCAAATGCCACTGTAGACAATGAGATTGACGCTTCATCAAATGCTAATGCAGGCAATGACATCAACGCGTCATCTAATGTCAATGTAGATAATTGCGCTGATGCTTTATCAAATTCCAACACTGACAATGAGATGGACGCTTCATCAAATGCTAATACAGACAATGACATCAACATGTCATCTTATGTCAATTTAGATAATTGCATTGACACTTTATCAAATGCCAAAACAGACAACAACATCAACAATGATTCATCAAATGCCAATACAGATAACGGTATCCACGATTCATCTATTGTCAATACAGACAATGACATTGATGATTCCTCTGTTGTCAATACGGACAATGACGCCGAATTGTTTGAAGGTACAGATGATCTGGCTAAGGTTGATATGATCAGGCCTTTGAGCTGGATGCCTTTGACAGGTGACAGTGATGTTAGAAACGCATCGACTTCTTTTGAAGTGGCGGCTGTCGTTCATGCACCATTATGTGGCCTGTCGGATTCCCACGGTCCTTTGAGCGAAAAAAGTGTACTCGAAGCAAAGGATGGTACCGATGTAGATTACGGTACTCACACTGAAGATAACCGGATGCCTGCTGTTTCTCCAAGCTCAGATGATTATGGTGGGGTGCTTGAACTTGAGTACGAACTCTCCCATAGTGAAACGGCGGTACCCGGCAGCACTCATATCACAGAACCATCAGCCTGAGAGTGGCTGTGAGAGAAAAGAGTTTTAGAGTAAAACTGCAGATCCACAAATATCTGATCTGGGACCCCTTGCTGACGGGCTGGATATTAATTCGAGTGATGTTGAAAAAGATTTGTTTCCCTTGGCTTTTTGAGTTCTGTCTTGTAGTAGGGGTGGTTGTGAAATCAGGACCCGTAGGTAATTGTGAAATTATGATGTTGCTGACAAATCGTCCTATAGCCAGACTTGCGATTTGAGGGATATATATGGCATGGTGTCAAGATCAGGGGATGTTGACAGTACAGTAGTCTCCGCCTAAGATCCCACCGCTTACGATCCGGTTCGTTTAAGATCCCGCTGTTTTAAGAAAACAGAATTTTTACTGTACAAAAGTCACAAAAACCCGGGCGGGACAGCCGATCAGCCAAGAGTGAAAAGTTGAGATCAATAAACTGTCCGTCGCATCAAAGATCAGCCACTATTGTGAATGTGATCAAATACGCGTTGTAAAACTCAATGAAGCGATACAATGTCTGCCCCAGACGGGATCACACCGGGGTGTGAACTGACCGACGCGTTTGTTTTCCTCACACATCGCACTCACACCTGAGCTCTCCCCCTAAACTTACATCACTCGCTGGGTGGGTAGGGCCTACACGTTCCCTCCAGGCGGGATCACATCAAACTGTGAACTCTTCTCTGACCATTGCAGCAGTTGTCTCTACTCCTGAATTTGCGAGACAGACTGAATTTTATTGGTGTGTTTACAACGTAATGGGGTGTAACGACAAAGGTGGTGGGGGAGGGGGGGGGACACGGTCAGAGATGGAAAGCTATAATTTTCGACAGGTAAAGGGGAGGGGCAACTGGATAAGTGTAGATCTTGAGACTCATGAAAGGATAAGTGAAAATGGCACGCCTCATCCTACTATGCACTGTGATAGGTCATCAAGGTTAACCACTCTTTGCTCGCCATATGCCATAAACCCACCAAACGGTCACGTCAGTAGGCTACATTTTAGAGTAAGGGAGACCGTTTTACCGATTGTGAGCCTTAAAATGGATCACCATAGATTTTTCCCTAGGTTCGTTGGTTAAGATCCCGGTTCGCCTAAGATCCGGCATTTCCTTGCTCCCGAGCACCGGGATCTTAGGCGGAGACTACTGTACTAGTACAACAAGAATACAGTGGAACTCGGATTTAACGAGCTCGGATTCAACGAGAACTCGGATTCAACGAGAGGAGATAGATTCCCCGTTTTTTTTTCTTCTTTATAATCAATAAAAATAACCCGTTGCAACTGTATCGTGAACTAGGCTATTATTTTCTTAGCCGATTGCATGTGCCCAATCACTGAATCAGCGTCCTTTTTCTCATGCAAACACAATATGCATTGTTGGCATGCGCACGTGTCTACTCTGGAGTGTGTCGGGGTTGGATGGGCGGCCTGCACACGTGTGACTGTGTGCGTGTCGCGCGCGGGGGGGGGGGGCGCACTAGCGTCCCGTACGTTAAACGTCGCAAATGCAAATACGTCCCAGTCTTTTTTTTTTACCCTCGGCAACTGATCATTATTTCAATGATAAGCTAGTCTTGACGAAGATCTACGTATTGAATTGTGCGCTGGTTTATGGAATCAAAAGTTGCCGTCTGCTAGGCTCTACACAGCAATACAACTTTTTGCCAAACAATCGAGATGACCCAGGCGTGCATTTGATTTTGAATGAATCAGTCTTTTTTTCATGTGTAGGCATTTCAGGCACTACTTGTCACTTCTCTTTACACATTACTTGCTCAGTGCCTGTAATTATCTACACAAAACCTCATGTTTGCTATAACGAACACTCGGATTCAACGAGATTTTCGGTCAGGCCCGGCGACCTCGTTGAATCCGAGTTCCACTGTACCATGGGATGGGGAATGTTTTGGTATTGGTTTCTCTCAAAAAGCATAAAGAATACAATATGCTCAACTGACAAAGATAGTGTAGAGACTACATGCACTGAACAAAGGTGGTATGGAGACTGCAAATTGCAGGTAACTCAACAAAGATAGATAATTAATCGTAATGTAATGGACTCGGCAGACAAATACAGTACAGAGACTATGTACAGTAGTCTCGGCTGACAAAGATAGTAGAGATTAGACTTAACAGACAAGGGATAGTGTAGGCTTATAGACTAATTATAATAAACTCAATAGACTAAGACAGTATAGGGACAACATTAGACTCAACAAAGATAATTGTTCGAGTGTGAGGGAGAGCTGCGTCTAGAGTGCATTTTTTTAGATAAAGTGTCATATGTTGCAGAAATCCAGTTGTCTGAATCAGGTGGGATTGTCATGGGTTTGGAAGGAAATAGAAATCTATATATATATTTTAAAAAAAAAAATTTTTTTGCTCATCGTGTAGGGTTTTCTGGCTGTTTTTGCATCAGTGTCGATGCTTCCCCAAACTTGTGGCTTCCTGATCTCAGAACTTTATAAATTGTACTGCTGTCTCAAATGTTCACCATTCTCCTAGACTTGTCATAATGGCCTCAGCATATTTGCTTTTTGGTCATTGGTCTAGCATCTGCGTTTGTCGCGGCCGCGATTTTTGGCCTTTTTTGGTCTGCGAATCGTGCCGCGATTTTTGCATTTTTCAAAAAAGACAAATCAACAAAGCTACTTCATAACATATTAGACTTGTATTTTGTTAAGTTTTAAGATGTCCATGTGTATCTATTTTCCTGTGGAGAATATAAGTACATTACATTACATACGGTACTATATATTGCTGTCTGTCTTTTATTTTCCCCCCTTTGTTGTGTTTTAAAATCTTGGTATGTTAATTTTTCTAAAAATTGTTCTTTTTTTTCTTTTTTTTTGGTCTTTATACAGCGTAATGTCATTTAATGTGATGCTGTTCTTACCCTTTTACTTTTAGAAATATAAATGTGTTGTGTTAGATCGTGTCTCCACCAAAACTGAATACTGACACTGGTACGCCCCAATTGTGTGTGATTCCATCAATTACATGTAATATCCTGTAGGCCTTCTTTTTTTTGAATTACACACATTTATGGTGTTAAAAACAGCCAGTCGTCGGATAGGTGAACTCATGCCCTAATTTGTTAATTTTTTTGGTTATTTATCATTGCTGTTCTAATTTTAATTTCATTCTGTTGTGAAAGTGAAACCTTTATTTTTCACGTTTTTACACTATGGGTGACTACAAATGATATTCTGTATGCTTAAAACAGCACAAGAAATTCTGGTGCTTTAGTTTGTTACCTCTATCAACACATTATTGCTAAGTACCTCGCCATTGAGAGTTGAAAGCTGGGAAAATTAATGGCAACTTTTTTGGCAACTTTTGCCACTTTTTGCTTGTGTTACTTGTTCGATGGCAACAAGGCTAGAGGGCGACCGAGAAAGACCTGGATAGATGGAGTCAGGGAAACATTAACCACCCATGGCATCCCCCTGACCCAAGCTCTCCGGTTGGCGACAGAGAGACTTCTCTTTCTTCCTGCGACCCAAACGTAAAAGGGTATATAAGCGGCGGATAAAAGTAGAGTAAAGTAAGTAAGCTCCTATTGCCTCTAAGAAAGAGTAGGAATTGGTCTTGTCAAACTTTAGGTACAGTGAGAATACTGAAATGTGATTGCCTGTGGTGCAGTGGTTATAAGTTTCTCTGTTGCATGCGGGACACCCAAGTTTGATTCCCTAGTGAGGAGAATCTTTATGATGAACTATCTCAGTCTTTCTGATGAGTTGACTGTATTCCTGTCATCCTGGGTTGGCCCACACAGGCAGTGTCAAAGCCTCCAAAATGATCTAAATTGCTTTGATCAGGGCATAAAACCACTTACATTTGGGGGGGGGGGGTTAGGAATGGGCAACGTATTATAATGTGTATGATTTGACTGTATAGTATGACACGTTCACATTGCCAGTGTGTATATGTGTGTGTCAGAGATGGTGATGAAATGAAGGGACCCATGTGAACAAAATGAAAAGTAAGTTGAAGTCATCCATGTTGACTTACTTTGACTCCATGAACATTCATCATGTGTATAGACTGGGCTTCTTGATTACATTAATGTGTAGACTGACATATTGTCAACATTCATTATAATTATAGACTTACTGACTTATTGTCTACATTCATTATAGACTGGCTTATTGTCTACATTCTTTATAGACTGACTTATTGTCCACATTCATTTATTGTCTGGCTTACTGTGTTCATTCATGTATTGTCCACCTTATTGTCTACATTCATTATAATAGACTGATACATTGTCCACATTCATTATAGATGACTTTTGTCTACATTCATTTATTGTCTGGCTTACTGTGTTCATTCATGTTTTGTCTGCCTTATTGTCTACACTCATGTATAGATTGGCTTACAGACTACATTCTTGTATAGACTGGCTTACTGTCTTCATTCATATCATACCGACCTATAAACTGACTTACTGTCTACATCCATGTATTGACTGGAGTATAGATTGGTTTTTGTCGTCATTCTTGTAGACTAGCTTATTGCCTTTTCATCATGTATAGACTGGCTCTCTGGGGGGAGTTTGAAAACATTCATGAAAAGACTGGTGTACTGTCTACATTCTTTTAGACTGACTTATTGACTAAATTCAAGCGTATAGACTGGCTAAATAACTTTCTATGAGGAGATTGACTGCATTCTTGAGTAGACTGGCTTTCTGTGGGTGGTAGATTCAGTTCTGAGTTCTGATCAAAATACAGTGGAATCCTGTTATAACGAGAGGGAGGGGACCGTTGCCATATGTCCGTTATAGCAGGATTCTCGTTATACGGGATCCAGTAATAAATTCAAGGGAAACAGTAAAGTAGGCCTAATCTATGAGTCTAGTATTCGGTTTATTTTATATTTTATTTTTGTAATCTCCCCTGAAGATGCTTTGGTTCAACATGACCTTTAAATCTTACTTGATCAGTAGTCGAATCAGGTTTCTTTTTTTAGCGCTAGCGATGTTTACAACTGGGCTTAGGCGATCAGAAAGAAAGTTCTCTAGACTAACTCGCCTGCTGTGTTTTCCCCCACCCCACCACACCCTGTGGTGCGTTCCGTCTGCGTCTGCACAATGGGAACATACCACACCCCGCTCACGTCAC